TTCTGTAGCAGACCCATCCACCTCCTGATATGGACTTGCATGAACACTGAAGTGAGCTCCAGGCCTTGGACTTGGCTCTTCAATTTCCAGCATGCAGATACCCTCTGCATGCTTCCTCATCCAACTCTGTGGCTGACCACCATAAGCCAAACTTGTAATCTCTTTATTTTTTTTTTTTTTTTTTGGTTTTTCTCCGGTACCGGGAATCAAACTCACAACCTTATGCTTGCCAGGCAGGCATTGTGCAACTGAGCTAAATCCCCAACCCCTCAGCGTGGGACGTTTTTTCCTTCCTCATCACAAAAGTTGGGAATAAAAGTGATCTACCCTACTCCCCTTCCAGATTTGGTTACAAAATGAAATGTTTCATTTTTTTTATATTTGAACAAAAAGTAGACAAATTCTTAAATATAATCCAGAATCATGGTGTTCATTAACCCATCTCAGATTTAAAACCATGAAAACTTCTCTGCTGCTTCTCTCCATGGTAATAAACAGAGTTGTTTAAGAGGAAAAGAACTGAAATAGCTTTTGCAGAATCAAAGCATGCAAAATAGTTTCTTACCACTCCTCATCTGCTCCACCTCACAGAAGTGTGTTCCAGTGGGAGTGTGAATAAATGCATGGACATGTTTAGCTCCATTCTGAAAAGGAGGGGAAAAATTTTCTCCAGTAAAATTTCAGCACATGCTATACAGCCAATTCTTTAATTAAACTGGGAGCGTAAATGAGAACCTTTTCAAAACGCTTCCAAGGAACTTCCTCAATGTAGACATGAACTCGGATGACATGGTGAAAAGAAGAAAGGAAATGCTGACATATGTTCACAGCAAAGGTTTCTATGCTTTTAATCTGTAAAAGAAGTAAAACGCTAGTTATCAGAAATACTTGACCCACTTAAAAATAATTTTTAATTACTCAGATCTCTCTCTCTTTCTGTCTCTCATACTTCAGAATGAGAGAAGCATAGAACTGGAAAGAGTTTCAAAAGATAAATTGATCCTTATCCCAGCTCATCCCAATGTTCCATGAGGGCTCCCAAAATTAGTGCATACATTGCCATCACCACGTGAGACTATCCTGCTTTTAAAAAGAAACGTATTCTACAAGAAAGGACGTATCAGTGGATGAGCAAGAAGTAACACTCAGGTTCTTCTCACAGGGACCTGGATCATAATCTACAACAATCGTACAGTCCATCACACTCTGGTGTCTTTAGGAGCTTTCCAAACGGGCCCCCAGTTTCCCGAGGAAAATGTTAATGAGGAGCCACCATTCTTGCTGTGTGCAGAGGCCTCTTATTGATTATCCCTGGAAGGAAAAAATGGAAACAGAGCTTTTGTAAATAAGGAGGGGAAGAGGGGTTGAAGAGTGGGGAAGGTAATGGAAAACAATAGAACCAAGTTATATCACGTCCAGGTACAAATTCCCTATAATGAATGTGATCATTATGTATACCTAAACTGTACCAATAAGCTTAATTAATTTTAAAAATTCTAGGCAATATTTTAAGGCCCTACACCAGTCTGTGAATTAATAATGGCTCTGACTATAATTAAGGTGGACTATTTGTGCAGTACTCCCCGACACAGTTCTGTTTTACACTGTTGTCCCAAAATAATTATTAATAGCGTCCTCTTTTACACTCAAAAGTATTTTGCCTTGGATAAGAAATTATATGACCACTCTATCTATAATGAATGAACTTCGATTGTTTTTAACATTCAGGTTATTCCCTCACTTTTCTTCAACCTCTCACACAGAGCAGGAAATAAAACAAATTGTGGTACCTGGCCCTCTTCCATATCACAACAAAAACCTATGTTCAACCAGTTTTTTAAAGACAGCACTTTATTTTTCCATAGCCCTGTCTGTTTGCTGGAGCATTCTGATTGACAAGAGAAAAATTCAAGGTAGAAACAAGCCTTGCAGAAATTGCATCACAATTACTTTGTTCATTTGCAGTCATTATGAACGTGGATTTCTTATTTTTAAAAATGAGTTTTCCAGTCTACGTATCTTGCTTTCTTAGAATTCTTTGCAAAAAAAAAAAAAAAAATTAGTAATCATCTTGATGGACCCAGAATTCTGCTGGAAAACTAGCACAGCTTCACTCATTCTTAAAAAAAAAATAATAAGAGAGGTCAAAATGTCAAAAAGTCCGGTTCTATCAGACGTAAGGAGCTCATGAAGCTGTCAATTAACCACCACATATGGACAGTGAGTGGCAAGGAAGTTGAAGAGTCTAAGAAGGCATTAAAATTTGGACAAACATTAAGTTCAAGAGTAAAAAGAAATATATCTGATACTCACGATCTTTTTCCGTAGCAACAACAGAAAGAAAAATGGCATTTTCTGCTATGAATATACATCATTCTAATACAAAATAAGTAACAGGACTCAAAGAAATACACGACACGCATGTTATATTTTATTCTGAAATCTTTCAGAACGTTGATTTGTTTATGATCCTAATTAGCAAGAACATCCTAATTTGTCCAAAAATATTCTTGGTCTGAAAGATTGAAGAAAGAAGACTAAAAATATGATTGTGAAAAAAAAGCATTTCCTGCAAGCCTGAGAATTTGAGGATAGAACAGAAATTTTTAAAAATAACTTAAGTAGGTTAAAAGGTAATGGGACCTTAAAATAAGCAAGTACTACGCCCATGCTATCTTATAGCAAATTCTTCATCAAGATAGGCCTCATCTAAGAAGAATGATGCATACCCCTTTGAACTTGGCCAAAACATGAACTGTATTCTTGATGGTGTCTGTAGGGACGATATCTGAATTATCTCCATGCAGGTAATCTTTTTTGGACCTCAGGGTAAGTTGCACTGAAGTTGCCACCTCTTTAATGGTATGGTATTTTCCATCTCGTTGAATATGAAGAACTTTTACCATTTCTTTCCCATAGCCAGTTCGAACAAACTCCACCTCATTGTTCTGCAACAAAAACACAACCATCTTATAAAAGAAGGCTAAATGAAAGCAAAAGGCCAACCAAAATTTCTTTAACCTTTCATTTATCACACATATCATACAAAAGATGAGACCTACAGTACAGTACATGAAAGCAATATCACATCCTACCTCTGAAGAATGGAAACTCATATAGAAAAAAGAAAATCCCAAGAAGGAAATGAAATATAGTAGACTGTCTAAAAGACACACGGGTGGATGGCTTTTGTAATAACAATAATACACAGTCATAACAGAATTTCCAGGATCAACTGTGCTAACTCACACTGTCATACTAATTCCTGCTAACCTAATCCTATAATGGCTCTATACACTAATATTAATATCATTTTACACATATTAATATCACTTTACAAAAAGAGAAACTAAGGTTCAGAGAGATTAAATGACTTTCCCTAGCTTCACATAGCTAGTAAAGGACAGAGTTAGGATTCAGATTCAAGTCCATTGAGTTCAAGTTATAGAATAGCTTCTGTATAAATTGCCTTCCTTCTATAAAATTTCCTGAATATGTTACCTGGAAATAATTCTGTGTTCTTTTATGTAGAAACTGATATTCTGCAGAAAGTGCCTATTAATCAATAGAAAGAGTTTTAAAATTGCTTTTTCTATTTGCTAGCAGGAAGAAGAGTAATTGGTAACAGGGTCCAGATTACTCCTAGGAGTATAGAGCCAGGGCCATCTCACTGCAAGGAGAGTTCTGCTTTTAATGAAGAGACACTTGTAAGAGCCTGCTGACTGGTTCATTAGAACCCTTTTTGAAGTTGAAGCCTAAGCCAGCAAACATGTCCATCTCTCAGCAAATCCACAAGATTTGTTACTGGACTGAATTGGTGTTTGAGAACATGCAGGAGACAGCAGAAGGACAAAAGCCATTATCTTATTTAGCATGGAAATTGAACATTAGAATGATGATGAAAGAAGATAACAAAAATGAAAGTAAATCAAAAATAGCAAGGGCTGGGGATATAGCTCAGTGGCATAAGTGCCTGCCTGGCAAGCGCAAGGTCCTGAGTTTGATTCCTGGTACCAAAAAAAAAAAGTACAAAAACAGCAGATGGAGAGAGTCTGGGAAATGAGACAAGGAACTTTACCTGCAAATCACACTTAGGCTGCTCAGCTATACTAAGAGCTGCTTGCACACAGGCACCAGTTCCTCTGAGGGGAGTTGAAAAATACTAGTCAACATCAGAAATGACTGCTGTTTCTTTAGTAAAGTTGATGAGAGGTATTTCAAAGCATAAGGGTAGAGCTGCATACTATTATAGGCCACTTAAAACATGCTGGGTTTGAGGTTTCTGAACTCATGGTTATAGTGGCTTCAGAGTCAGACTAGGCCCAAATTCTGCCTTGTCACTTATAGCTTAGTGGCTTGTGGCAAGTGATTTAATATCTCTGAGCTTCATGTCCACTACCTGTATAGGGAGGCTGGTGATGTAAAAGGCCTAGCTCAGCTGCAAGCATCTGGTAGTGCAGTCCAAGCATCAGGGCCTACATCATGCCTGGATGTGAAAGTGGCAGCAGCAGCAGGGAGGACGTTGATGAAGTGCATGCATTTGCGGGAGGGGAGAATACTGCAGTAGCAGGAGAAAGATCCCAGGGTGCCTTGAGCCACAAACGACTCTGCCTCAGGAAGGAAGGTCTGTGGCTGCTTGGGGTCCCTGGATGATGCAGACAAAGGTCTCTGAGATCATTTATCACTGCAACCTGAAGCAAGATTCAACACATGTGGGGGCTGGGGATTTAGCTCAGTGGCAAAGCGCCTGCCTAGCAAGCGCAAGGTTGTGAGTTCGGTTCCCGGTACCGGAGAAAAAAAACAAAAACAAACAAACAAAAAAAAAAAAGATTCAACACATGTGATTTCTCAGCCCCAACTTTTGCCACTAAATACCCAAGCTTGTGAAAGCAATCGGTGCCCATGTGGCACAGAAAGAGATTAGAAGATAGCCACCCATCAAATCTCCACCCTGCTCAGTTCTCCAGCTTCTTCTCTGGTCATATGTGACTTCAAGCTCTGCCTTAGCTATCTTGAGCTAATTGTGGCCGCTCAGATTTCTTCTAACTGCACAGCCACCAACCTCTCCACCTGCCTAATTTCTTGTAATCATCCTTCAGGTCCCAAATGTCTGCCCTAGTCCTTCAAATTTAGAGTAGGTATCCTTTTCACTCGCTTTTGAAATACTTGTTATTGCCTTAAAATCGGTATCAAATTGTATTGCAATTTCCTCTTCATGTGTCTGATTCATTCCAAAACACTAAACTACGAAAGCCGGAACAAGTTCTATCTTAGTCACCATAGCAACCCCAGCACTCAGCACAGTGCCTGGAACATAAATAGATGCTTGATAAATGTGTCATGAATGAATGGATGGTGCTAACCACCTCCACTGCTTGTGTGATGACACAGAATAGTTAATGAAAACACACAAAGGATTACAACACCGGAAGCACTGCTTCAGCTCAGACCCTATCCGGGAATTTCCTCTTCCTGGGGAAGTGAAAATAAGAATTCATGCCTTCTGATCCCCACAACCTGGGGATCACAGGCACAGCTGACCAGAGAATAGAAGCCCAGGAAGGGCAGAAGTGAGCACAGACAGAGTCAGCGATGCAAAGGGTTCGCATTGGTAATAAGACGGCACTTCAGCACAGTCAGCCGGTCCAGAGAAGAAATTATTAGAGACACAGGGAAAGGTCAGTGCTCCTGAGCAAGATCTTGATGAGTCCAGGCAAACCTGTGCACTGGAACAAAGCTTGAGTGATCAAGTTTGTTGAGCAATGAGTGAGAATAAAAATGACGTATAACAGGTGATCAAAAAATACAGTGAACGTCCAATTTTTTAAAAAATTTATTACAGTAAAAGACATTGTCATTAACCCCCTTCAGACTCCTCCTTCTTGCAAGCACACTCATCCCATGGTTCTTGCCACTTTCTGGAGCAGTTCTGGAAGTCTTCTTCTGTAAAGGTCTTCAGTTGTGCTATCATGGCTGTCTTCATGTTCTGAATCAGTTGAAAGCTTTTACTTATCGTGATCATTTTGACTTTAGGGGAAGAACCAGAAGTCACGTGGCGCCAGATCTGGTGAATAAGGTGGATGAGGACATACTATAATGTTTTTGTGAGCTTCCCTTTCTGTTGGGTGTCACTCAGCCGCAGCATTCCCTGCATTTGTAATTACACTTCATAAAGACATGAAAGAGAACTTCCAGAACTGCTTCAGAAAGTGGCAGGAATAACGGGAGACGTGTGCTCATAAGTGAGGGGAATATTTTGAGAGAGATTAATGGAAACGTGTTTCTTAAATATTTCACATATTTTTTGATCCCCTTTTAACTATCTGAGGCTGGAAAAGGGTGGAATGGTCCGGTATGGGATACCCAAAGAGTCTCTCAAGAAGACCTGACATTAGATATTGTGTGGATAAGAACTGAAGCTGTTCTTCTCAACTTCTTCAGTCAGAGGAATCAAAGTAGTTATCAGAACCTCATTGTGTACAATGCAGGCCATATGCCCAGGACAGCTATATAGGAAAACACACAAGTTGCCCTCATCTGGAGGGTGGCCATGGGCCGAGAGATAGGCAAGGGACTCTGGAGTCAGGCAGCCCAAGTGGAATCCTTGTCCTGCGTTTATTAGCAAAAGAGGCCATTTTTTCTATAAAATGAGAATCATAGCAGGGTCCATCTCTCAGGATTGATGTGAGGAGTACATAAGAAAAAGCAAAAAGCACTTTAAACAGTGCCTGATAAATAGAAAGTGCCCAGGAAATATGAGGTATAATTATTATTGGTAAATAATAATTATATGTCAAATTTTGCATTAAAGGATCCTTCTAGATATTGGTATAAATATTGAGAGTGCACACCAGACCAGAGCTGGTGTGGGCTGCTCATATCATCAGTTCTACTTTTGCTTTTCTACCTTTAGGGACACTGGCTTTACTTAAATTCTCAGGATCACTGATGCCCTCATCTTTGGTTGACTTTCCTCAGGCTTTTGTGGCTTGAGGAAACAAATGTACAAATAAAAACTCAATTTCCTAGAGTAATTCTCTATACAAAATATCATCAGAAATAAATCTTTACCTGGCTGTACACAAGAAAAATCCTCTATCTTAGGCATATCTTGAAATATAAAGGGCTAGAGAATCATTACATTTCTACAAAGTCATGCAGGAGAGAATGAAGGGATTTTTAAGCAAGTCATCAATTTTCAGTTCTACTGAGTAATGGGAAGTATTTGATTAGTTCCAGGCCATAGTGAAAGTACTAAGTTGTCACAAGAGTTTTAGGGAGTTTCAATCTGGAATCTGTTAAGCACCAGTACATGGATTTTAGGCAGAAGCATGAACTCAATGAAGTTGTAACTAAAACCTTATACATTTGCAGGATAAAGGGTAGATTTTTCTGGGGAATGAATACATAGATTTCAAAGATGTTCATGATTCACAAAAGTTTAACAGCTATTTCTTTGTGTAAGTGGGGTCGAAATTGTTAGGGTCACTTTTGTCAGCTTCACTTTGCCAAGGCCTGACCTCCAGCCGCATGACAGTGGGAGGGAAGGGACTTGATTATTCTCAGGGTACAGACTTTTAAGAGCACAGAGGACAGACTTTCTGTACCACCTTCTAGCTCTAGGCCCCATGCAAGTCCCTTAATCTTTTTATCCCTTCCCTTTTTGATCCATCAAATAGGATAATGATATCAGCTATTTCCTGTAATTATTTTGAGGCTTAAAGTAGAGTAAGTGCTTAGAACAGAGACTAGGAGATAGTAAGTGTCAGCGAATGTCAGCCGTTATCATCATCTGGACTGCCAGTTTGACCAGAGGCAGCAGTTGGAACATTTTGATATCATTTCTGTCACTAAATATGGAGAGGCAGCCTTGTTTCTCTTTTTGTAAAGACTGAGAATACTATACCATAAAGGCACACATTGCTTCCTGATGCCAGTATAGTACTAATAAAATAAAGCCACGGCAATCTAAGTTCTTTTGCATACTTTCATTGCATCTTTGCTGCTGATATACACCAAGGGAAATCTTTATGTAAAGCTAATATTCCTCCACATCCACGTGCCAAGCTTTCTAGTATCTGTGCATTTTGCATGTTTTCTTTTAATATTAATGTTCTTATATTTATACTTGCATATACTAGATATTAAGCGAATTTTCCCATTCTCTGCATGAGGACAAAGGCAGAAAAAAGTATTTTCTAGTGATTGGTCAGAATCTGATTTGAAGTGGCTCTGAGATTTTAACCACCTGTAAGTATCCCTCCCATCTCCTGAAATGCTGTCTCTCCGTTGTTATCGCAGATCCCCCAGTGAACGCCTTCATAAAGCGTGGCTCTTTCCTCTGAACTCCTAGAGCACTATAGTAAACAGGCACTAGCTGTGAAGGTCACTTTCTTCCTTATTATTCTTATTTTATGCAGATCTTAATAGCCCCAATACAATATTTTAAAGACAGGATTAAGTCATTTTTGTATTCCTCAGAGCACCTGACAGTGCTTTGTATTGTCATAAATTATTCATCCAGGAACAAGCTTCTTCATTTGCAGATATTTTCAAAAAATTCAGGTCATGTTTATTTTAGCAAGAAAAAACCACATCATTATTTTCAGCTGTAAATTACCCCATCATTTCAACCTCAGGTTCACATTTTCAAGTTATAGGATGAGGTAGGTGGTATAAGGAGAGCCCCCTGCACCTGTTTCCTTACTACACTCTTTTCCTTATGAGAACTGGTACAGGGAAGAGGAACAAGGTTTGTCTGTGTCCCTTGTGAGCTGCAATTATCCTCAGAAAATGAGAAACCCTCTGAAACCACCTATGAGCCTTCTATGTAATTAAATATTATCAGAGGTAGTAATATTATGGCACGTTTCTATTTTAATTTTGAACACACTTTTTTTGGCACAGAAGCCCTTCGTTTTAGTGCCTTCTTTTACCTATGGTCTTGTTTTTGATTCAAGAATGCCATCCTTCAACCACTGAATTTCTCTGTTGTGCTGGCAGTGGAAAATAGCGCAGTTAAAGTGGCTGTTTTTAATTTTAGCTTTTTTCAACACTTAACAATGAATTTGGTCTCGAATGTATGTGTGTTCATCAAGTAGGTGTTCATATAAGTAGATTTTAATTAGAAAAGAACTGCTAGGAAGATATGAGCAAGATAATGGGAAATTAATAAATTTAAATTTTAAAATGACTAGAATCTTCTCTCCAGTCTTACAAGAGCTTCTGTAAGGATCATCTCCTCCCTCCATATTACAGAGGAATACAAAAATAGAGCTGTAGCTGTTTCCAACACATCCTACTTGTATAAATACACAATTCAGTTGCAATGCGCTGGGACAAAAGAAACAATGGTGCGTGGAGGCTCGCTCTCTCTCTCTCTCTCTCTCTCTCTCTCTCTCTCTCTCTCTCTCTCTCTCCTCCCCTCCCCCCCAGAATATGCTGGAAAGGTTCTTCACCTGCACTGTCCAGCTTTTTTCTTTACCTGAATGTTTCCTTGGGCATTTGTGAACAGGAAGATTTCAGTGAAGATGCTATAAACTAACATGAGAAAAAATGAACATTCCTGATACAACTTTGGTGGATCTTTATCTTGACAAAACAAAAAGAGTGAATGATAATCTGAGAGTCAGCTAAAGATTTTTTTTTGACTGCCTAGGATCTACTAGATGTTAGATGAGAAAATATTGATACCCAGAAAAAAATGTCATATTGGGTTAACCTGTAAAGTGCCTTACAGTTATCAAGGGCGACGTGCATTATGTTCAAAGGGGACTCCAAAGGGATTTGTCAAGCAGACGTTCCCAGAGCAGCATAAAAACTCATCTGCATAATTACAGGAGAAAGAAAGTGTAACCTGTTACCTACTGAAGACTCCAATTACAAAGGCTTTTTTCACTTTTCTGCCTATTACCAAGGAAGAGAAATGCACCACTAAATGTCAGGAGGAAAGCCAATTTTCTTTCTAGCCTCTCCACAATACCAACAGCCTTAGGAACAAAGCCCCTCTGGAATGGGGAAGGAACCCCTCAAAAAAGAACAGAGGGAGACCTCCAAAAGTGTGGTCAGAAGACATTTTTTATTGAACTGCATTCATTGAAAGATGTCTGTTTCGGAATGTGTAGTCTTGAAAATAAAAACAATGGTAGCAATATTGAGGACTTGATACGTGTCAGGAAATTTACACGTATTATTTCCTCTGCCCCATGAAATAGATGTTATTATCCAAGTTTGACGAAGAGAAACATTGGGTAAGGTAACCTCAAGAGACACAGTGACCAGGTAATAAAGGTAGGATGCCATCCCCACCATGTACCTCCAGAGGACTCTTTCCCATCGCATCGCAGTCAGTGCAACCCCTTGGATCTGCTTGACAAACCCCTTCAGAGTTGCACTCAGTGAGCAGAGAAGGAAACACTCTGATCCCAACAGAAGAGGGAAATGGACCAGAAATTTGCACTTGCATACGGTTTTTACCATTTAATTTCCCGCCCACACGGACTTACACTGTCTTATTTATTCCTCGCAACAACTCTGTGAGTTGATAGAAAGAATCCCTATTTTAAAATAAACTATCTTAGAGCTGTTAAGTGAGCTGCATACAGTCACACAGGGACTGGCAGACTGCTGTAGTGGGCAGGCCCTGGTGAAATGGAGGCGGAGACTTGCCCCACCCAAGCGGCCCTTTCTTCTAATACTCCGGTCATTTAAAAAACTTTTTAAGTTACAGAGAGGTCCAAGCTCAGATGGATTCTGTTTATGCTGTGAGTAAGGGTAGCACTGAAAGTTGATTGTCCTCTGAAATACGATCAAAGACCAGTTTCAAATCTAGAATATATAAAGAACTCAAAAAGATCAGCCAGCCCACCACTACCAAGTTGAAGACCCAATCCAAAAATGGACATCTGGAATGAACAGACACTTCTCAGAGATAAGAAATACAAACAGCAAATAAATATATGAAAAAATGTTCAACATCACTGGTCATTGCAGAGATGCAAATTGAAAGAACACTGAGATTCCATCTCACCCCACAAAGAACGGCTATTATCAAGAAATCAACCATTAATAAATGCAGGTGGGGCTGTGAGGAAAAGGAACCCTTCTCCACTGTTGGTGGGAGTGTAGACTGGTGCAACCACTGTGGAAATCAGTATGGAGATTCCTCAAAAAACTAAAATTAGAGGTTCCATTTGACCCAGATATTGTTATCATCCCACTTGATATCTCCCCCAAAGAAGTAAAAGTATCATATACCACAGTGATATGTGCACACCCATATTTATAGTAGCACAAGTTGTAACAGCTAAATCTTGAAAACAGTCCAAATGCCCATCAAATGAGGAATGGATAAAGATGTGGGTTTAAAAAAAAAATAGGATAGAGTACTGCTCTGCCATTAAAAAGGGTAAACTTGAGACATTTCTGGGTAAACAGATGTTTCTTGAGACCATATTCTTAAGTGAAATATAATGGACTCACATGTTTTAATATCCCATTGTTTCTCTGGTATGAGAAACTGAAAGGGAAAATAAAGATCAAAGTGTAAAATATATATTGGGAAATGGGAAGAAAATGTTTGAATAGGAAGGGGAACAAGGAATGAGGAGGAGGAAATGAAGGAAAAGACAAGAAAAAAAGAGAATAGAAGAAGAAAATGGAAGCAAAGCTTTTATAAATGGAGAGGAGAAAGAAGGGAGGGGAGGGAATTGGGAGAAAAAAAAACACCAAGGTGTGTTATGTGCAGGTGCAGGTACAAATTCCCTCTGATGAATGTGATCATTATGTATATCTAAAGTATTCCAATAAATTTAATTTTTAAAAGTTAACCCTTTCATACTCAAAAAAAGAAAGTTCGGCTTCATGTCTTTAGCAACAGGGCACTCAGGTGACTTGAACACTTGCTTTTATCTGGATAAGGACCATTGAAATCACAAATTATCTGGGCTTGCTTGTGGCTATTTCAAACCATGTCCCTAAAGGACTGATTTTAGTCTATCTGCAGGGAACAGGAAATAACTTTGTCATGGAAGAAATGGAAACAATGGGAAAGAACTGGCATCAAATGGCACCAGTTAGATGCCAGGGCTGCCTACATAGCACCTCACCGAGCCCTGAGAGGTCTTTGTAGAGATTGCTGAGTGCCTGTATCAGTCAGGGTTTTACTGGAGAAACAGATACAACACAGGATGTACAAATTATAAGAAATTACAAGACTGGCTTATGACGGTCAGCCAGAGTTGTATGGGGAAGTGTGCAGAGGGCGTCTGCACACTGAAGAGTGAAGGAATCAGTCCAGGCTCTGGAGTTCACTGCAGAGTTCTGTGCAAGTCCCTATCAGGAGGCCGATGAGTCTGCGACAAAAAGCTGAAGGATCCAAGGAGGAAGCCGAAGAGTCTGTACTAGAAGCCAGGAGACTAAGTCCAAGCTGAAGGTGAAGACTGGAGCTCCTCCAAAAGGCATGGAAGTACCTCTATCCTTCTTCATTTCTCTTTTATATTATCTAGGTGATGATCCACCCTAAGGTGGCTCCTCTACACCCTAGGGTGTAGAACTGCTGAGCCAAGTTTAGTTATGTTTCTGAACTTCTCAAGTTGACATAATCAATCAGCCACTACAGTGCCCTTTCAAAAAAGGAAGCTAAAGCTCTGTGAAGTCCACTCACCACGTGGCTGGTGAGAGGCAGGTGCAGCACAGAACCCAGGCCTACCTGTTTCTTTTCACTGTAGCCGCCCCCCTGACTTATAAGCACTATAATGGGGTTTACCACTACACACCCACCTTGTAGCTCTAACTAGGTTTACTTCCATCTAAATTCCATGTAGCTCCACGAGTAGTCTCTGAAACCCTTTCCTCAATCCATCACCTAGATGGCAAGCACTGTGGTTAGGTCTGGAGACAAACAGTAAACTGGGCATACATTTCTCTGCCCTCACAGAGATTATACCCTACAACAAATTTTGTGGAGAATCAAATAGTTAATATTTCAGGCTTTTCAGACTGTAGATCTTTGTCTCAATTACTCAACTCTGCCATTATCGATTAAAAGGCAGCCATATATAATGCATCAATGAATGGGTGTGGCGGTGTTCCAATAAAACTTTATTTATAAAACTGGGCATGGGCCAGATTTAGCCCACTAGTGTTTACTGGCTTACTGACCACTGCTCTCAGAAAAACTCAGAACAGGAATCAACTAATTAGTAACACACTCTGTTCATTATTCTAATTGAGCTCATACAGTGTGACCTGAGGCGGATTGGGAGAGAGCAAGGATAGCCTCCAGAAGGAACTGACATTCTCAAAGCAACCTGGAGCATGCATGGAAATAAACCGAATATAAATTCCCAGTAATTTCTCACTATTCTACTCATGTTTGCCATTAACCATATTTCTCATGAGCAATTCCTTTTTCTACATTTACCTGTCTCATCTCTTTTTTGTCAGAGTAATTCAAATCCTCTCCCTTTCCTCCCACAAGTACATCAAACTTTGTCTTCCATCTGTCATATTCTAGATTTTACTCAGTCCTTCAATAGTCTTGTAAACGTCTGACAAAAATAAAGCTGGTTTTATTTTTTTATTTTTATTTTTATTTTTTTCCGGTACTGGGAATCAAACTCATGACCTTTCACTTCCAGGCAGGCGCTGTGCCACTGAGCTAAATCCCCAGCACTCAAAGCTAGGTTTAAACAGATAAATTTATGAAATGTAAATCATACTTTAAAAAGCTACCAAAACAAATAAATAAAGCCAGCAGTCTGTCCTCTGGGAGTTCTGAACTTTGATGAAGCCAGCCTGTCCCAGGATCCCCAAAAACCCAGGTTTATCCTGATCTCAAAAGATTTTCAGATAATACCACAAGGAAGATGAATTTACAGACAAAACTCAAGTATAACACAATAGCAAGATATCATGAGAGAGAGTTGCAGAAATAGTAGTGTTATGGTTTGTGTCTGGATGTCCCCCCAAAACCACATGCAGTCATGGAGGCGGGCTTCTAGAGTTTGTGATTGATTCATGGTCCAGTTCTGGGATTATGGGTGTGAGTGCTACACCCACCCAGGGGCAGATAGCCTGCATACAACGTATGGGAGAGAAAGAGCCTTGCTCTGCTATTGCTCCTCCCTCTTTGCTCTTGCTGCTTTTGCTGTTTTCCTAGGCCATGAATTGTTGTCCTCTGCCATGTACCACCTTGCCTTGAAGATAGCCAACTATGGACTGAAAGCTCCACAAACTGTGAGCTAAAGAAACCTTTCCTTCCTTAATTTTGGAAATCAGGTATTTGTCTCAGCAACAAGAGAAAAGTAACTAAGACAAATAGCAAAATCAAATCCACAAGATTTTAGCTATTGGAATTGGATACAAAATATAAAAATTGCTTATTTAATACTTTGACAAAAATAAAAGATTGAGTGTATGGGCAAAAAAAAAGAAATCATAAAAAGGACTAAGTAAATGTGGAAAAAAAATGAGAAAACTTCTACAAATGTGCTAATGAGTGGGTTAAGAAACAGTTTAAACATATAACTTGAAAGCATGAGAGGTAATATTTGGAAGACATAGATTAAATAACGGATGAATGTTCCTGGGGAGACAATTAGAAGACCAGAAGAAGGTTGCAGGTAAAGAATCAGGTACTAATGCAGACACACAAAGAATTAGAATAGGTGGAAGAGATATACGATGTCCAGTGCCAGAGATGTGGTAAAGAGGATGGGAAGAGGAACTATTGGAAGAGTTCAAGGCTGGGGTTTTCCAGAATTGCCAGGTGAATGAAGGCAAACCTTCAGCCATCAAAGCAGAAGCCCCTGCCCAGTTGAAGAAGTCCTTGTTGCAAGTGACCAACTTACAACAAAGTGTTTTTTCTACTTTTTTGAGAAGTAACTGAGTTCTGAAAGAGCCATGGTACAGTGTTTTCATACTTTCATACTAGGGTTTCAAAAGCAGGGTCATCATGAAAACAATTCTGTCCCATTTTTAATTTCTTCATTCACCAAATTTGTAAGTTCTTTCCATAACATTACTCTGTTGTTTTTAGTAAAAATAGAAACTCACTTTGGTCTCACTGTTAAGGTCACACTGAAATCTCTGGAGCCCCTCAATTGTCTCATAGGTTGTTCTACACAATAATGACTGTCTGTATAAAGAAAGTTGGGGACTAACAACCAGCATGATTGGATCATTAGGGACAGAAGATAAGAAAGTTTATTAAAAGTGAAACCTGAAAGAAACCAACCTAGCAGTGTCTTTCTAGACCTTGAAATACAACCAGTTAGCACATACCACCCTGATACTGATGCACCCCACTTCACCTTACAGGAATGTAAGGATAAT